GCTGGACAGGTGGCTGGGCCCCTACCCCCACCCCTGGGGAGAGGCCTGGGGCTCTGTGCTGCTGAGGGCTGGGGGCAGGGATCAGCTGGAGTTCATTCCCTAAGGTCCCCTGCCACTAGAGCTCGTGGAGGGCTCACAGGTGGCGGTGGTGGGCTGGGTGGGGCTTAGAGCTGAGCAGGTGGAGCCCTGTCCCTTTCTCAGGCTGTAGACACCCTTCCCCACCCATTCCCAGGGCYGTGCACACAGGGAACCTGCTCACCCTTCTCTGGGGCCTGGGGAGACATGCCCACTCCCCAAGCTGGGAAGTCCCACCCTGGGTGACCCCAGGGRTGTCCAGAGGCTCTAGCTTGGGTGTCCGTCACTGTGGGCCCAGGCAGATCCCCCGCCTACCGCAGCGCCCCCTCCCACAGTGCCCCTCCTCCCCAGTGGCCCACCTGCGCCCAGCAGCTGTCACCACAGACAGGCGCCAGGAGAGGCGGGAAGGGGCACTGGGGGGCAGGAGGGCTCTGGCCAGCACCTGCCTCCCTCCCTTTGTGCCGGGGCCCTCAGCATCCTCCCTGGGGCTGGCTGGGCCTCGGGTGCTCAGTGCCCCGCTTCATGTGGTCCAGGGGGTGCTAGGGAACGGATCTGTTCCAAGGCCAGGCYTGGCGACGCTGAGCACAGGAGAAAATCATGATTCCTGTCCCCACAGCAGCCCTCTGCCTGCTTGGCACCCACTGGTGCTTACCGTGCAGGGCTCTGTCCTCCCAGAAAGTGTGGCCAGGGGTGACCCTCATCCTGACGGAAGCCTTCCCTCTTGCAGGGCACAAGGGGGCTGTCGGGGCAGGGCTGAGCCAGTCTTGGACACGCTCACCTGAGCCCTTGGCCCCCACTCCCTGTCCTGCCCCCAGCCCTGGGAGGCTTGTCTCTGGCAGGACACGGCTCTGTTTTAGTGCGGGCCACCACTGAGGGCAAGGAGCTCCACCGGCAGGAACYGAGGTGGACAAGGGGGTCAGAAGCTCTGGGGCCCAGGCCCTCCTCTGCAAAACTGTTCTGAGGCTCCCAGGGATCGGCTTCGCGACACGGRCCTCCTCCCGCCCTCGCCATGAGCCTGGTGTTTGTCACATCCTCCTCCCAGGCCACACACCACCTGCTGCCCTCAGCCCCAGAGGACTTAGAACCCCTTAGTGGCCCTGTTTACAGACAGGGACACCAAGGCCCGGAAGGGTTAGAAAGCCCCGAGAGCTGCCCAGCCTGGAATTCTGGCCTCAGAGCCCCCACAGCCACCACAGCCAGAGACCCTGGGCTGTCTGAGTCCTGTGGCCACAGAGACCTTCTGGCCTGCCACAAGACCCATGGCCTCCTCCAAGGCCCACCGGGGGCCCAGCTGCTCCTGTCCACCCTGTTCCCTTTGATGGCCTAAGCCAGCTTCTTCAGCTGGCCRGCATGGCTGCAGGGGACCAGAGGYGGAGGTGTGGCCCTCCCCCAATGGAAGAGGCTTATGTATCCCCACGCCCTCCTGCTCGGGGCCTGTGACCCATCAGCCAACCTCACGATCAGGACACGGAGGCACGTGGGGACTTGGACCCCCCTGCTCAGCCCCTCTCTGCCAGCCGCTGAGGGCACYCCTGGCTCCAATGGTTTGACTCCGACGGCTTGGCAGATCTCCTTCAGGAAATCTTCGTCCATCAGGGAGCCAATCTGCCTGCTCCAGATCCCCCAAGGTGGAAGGGGACACCCCAGAAAGTGGCTGTCCCACATGCTCAAGGACCATGCTGGTTTAAGCCCTACCCCCTTCGCTGCAAGATCCCCCCAGCGGGGGACAGCTCAGCACCAAGGGCAGGGTACTGAGGCTCGTTCTGAGTACAGAGTTGGGGTGCTGAGAGCCCTGGGCCCCTCAGACGCCCAAAGTGTCCATTGACCCAAGGCTGAGCTGGTGGCGCCTCTTCTGGGTGGAGTGGAGGTGGGACCAGGATCAGAAACCCACGGCAGCACGGTCCCCGGGGGTGGGGGACTGCACTCAACAGACCCCCTCCCCAGCCTCAGCAGAGCGGGCCCATGTGCCCCAGCCCTCAGCAGCCCAGCACCCTCCCCAGTGGACTCTAAAAATGAGCCCCTGTCCTKGGGTTTTAAAATGACCCACCACTCTCGAGGCCAGCCAGCTGCAGGACTCTGGGACTCCCACGGAGCCTGTGTCTGCTCTTCATGGTTGTTTGAGTGACATCAAGTCCCCACCGGAGCCATGCATGAGCTCCCTCCACCCTGGGCAGTGAGAGTGACCCTCAGGGGTGTTTTCACAMCTTCCCAGAGCCCCCCTGGAGAGCCACTGGCCTCAGCCACTGGACTTCAGCCCTACTGGACAGATCAGCTCAAGAGTCCCGCTGACACTTGGAGAACGTGGCCCGAGGCAGGGCCGCCCTCGGCCGGCAGTGGCTCTAGAGCTGGTGCCTGTGCCCCTCAGGCTGCACCCTGCCTGGCGCTTCCCACAGACCAGGCCGCAGCCCAGAGCACCACCTGGCAGCACCCAGGGACCTCGCGTGGCTGGAAAGCGCTCCTTCCTACAAAGACGCACTTCAGACTTTCATTAGACCGTGCTTTGCACAGGCTGCTCCCAGTGGCCACAGCGTTGGATGACCGCGAGTGTGCACACTCTGCTGGCGGGCCTGTCCCCGAYTGCTCCCCGCGAGGTCTCTCTGTGTCCCTCCCCCATCTAGCAGTGGGAGACTGGGAAAATTTAACCGTGTGTTTCATGAGATTTAACCCTGATCACCTCACTTCCACTGCCCACGCTGACCCCGTCCAGCTTTAGTGCCCACTGCCCAGCCTCTGCCCCCCTGTGGCAGGGAAGCCGCCCTCCAGCAGCTGAGTTCTGGATCCCTGCAATCAGACGCCCCAGCGGGTCGGCCATAGTCTGTGCCGTAGTCTGTGCCTCCTCTTTTGCAGTGGGGCTGCAGGAGGGTCGGGGGAGTGGGGGGCTGTGTTGGCTGCTCTCGGGGAGCAGGCAGGGAATAGGCAGCGGGCTCAGCGTGCGGCCTGCACAGTGGGGGCCCGGCCCRGCCAGCCTTGGTTCCAGGGAATCCCCACCTCCGGGAACTGAGCTGCACCCAGGAATTTCATACATGGCTTTTACCAAGAGCGTGTCGCTACCTGACAGAGTGGGCCCCTTGTTTGCGGAGGTGCAGGGCCCCACCCTCGTTACCCCACGGCTGGGAGCAGCGTGCCCCAGCAGGCGAGGGCTCCTGAGCCTCCAGCCCAACACGCTCAGCACCAGGCTCCGGGCCAGGGCTGGGTAGCACATCCCACCCACRGGGGCCTGGAACTGCCCCTTGAGCTCCCTGAGGAGGTGGCAGTGACMAGGGGGCAGGTCTGAGGGTCCTCAAAGGCCCCCTGCCCTCTTGGGGGTGATCTGAGTGGCTGGGGGTGGGATGGAGGCTTGAAACTCCGGAGACAAACATCTTTGGAGCCTGGTGGACAGCTCCTGACTCTCCAGACTCGAGGACACCCGTGTCCAGGTGRGGCACTGGCCAGGGAGGAATTAGGACCCTGATCTCCAAGGAGCAGCCGGCAGGCAAGGGCCCTAGCGGCAGAGGTCAGAGCTTCCCTGTCACTGGTCAGGGGCCACGCTACTCCCTTCCCTGCCTCTGCCTCAGGGTCCTCACCTGTATGTGGGCAYAGGTGCTGGCGGGTGCTGGCTCCGGGGCAGTCTCCTGAGCAGGGGCAAAGGCCAGAGCCGGGCATCAGCTCCTCAGAGGAATGGAGCTGGGCTTGCCGCCTGCCCCAGGCTGGGCTGCTCAGGGGAGCCTTTCCTGCCTCCCACCCTGCTCCCTGGAGCAGTGGAGGTGGACTGGGCCATCGCCCCTGGGTGCTGGGCAGGGATGCCCTGGACTGAGGAGGGCTCCAAGTTCTAGAAGGGGCTTTAGGGCCAAGGGGGCCAGGCCTGCACCCTCCTGGCCTCCAGAGTCCTCAGCTGCCCCCTCCTGCACATAGGTCCTCCGGTGCTGGGCACATAGGAGGCAAGGCCCTGCCCAGGGCTCTCRCTGTCTGGCCTCTGCCTCCAGCATGTGCCTGCTCAGCTGGGCTCCGCTTCCCTCCTCACTCGGCAGAGTTCCTCCAGAGTTCCGCAGAGACTCATCCCGCGCCTGTCCTCTGGCCTTGTGGGAACCCAGCACCCCGGGGCCCAGTGGGGGAGGTGTGAGAACAATAGGCTTCCAGGGTCTCCCCAGGGCCAGGCGCCATGAATGCCCTGTGCCTCCGGCCTCCCATCCACCTCGCAGCCCAGCTAGGGCTGGACCCACAGGGAGGTGCTGACCCAATCTGCTACCACCGTGGCCGGTCTCTTGCCCAAAAGAGCTCCTGTGGCGGAGTCCCAAGGTCCTGGGGCCACCTGCTCCCGCACTCCCTATGAGCAGGGAGGCCCCTGAGATGGAAGTGTGGCCACTGCCCTGCCAGCCCCATCCCGCCCCGTCTGTGGAAATGAMCTCTTGGTCTTGCTCTGGACCCCTCCCCCTAGGGAGCCCACCTCACCCTTCTCTGTCCTTAYRGGGTCCAGAGGAYGGGGATGGGGACAAGGGACCAAGCCAGTTAGAGGCACAGGGATGGCTCAGAGTCAGGCCATGACATGTTCAGACAAACAAGAGGAATCCTGCTGGCCTRTGGGCAGAGGACTTCCCTCCTCACAGGGACAGGAGGAGCCTGGCAACCCCCACTGTGGTGAGAGGCCACTGAAGGAYGAAGTCCCCCAGGAGAAAGCAGGGCAAGACAGAGGGAGGCGGAGGTGGTACCTCTGGACCCAGCCAGGCCTGAAGCCCTTCCTGCYGCTGGATCCAGCCGGCACTGAACCCACTCCTACCTCTGCACTGGCAGCTACATCAGCCCATGTTTTCCTGCTCTGTAATTYGAAGGGTCTGGACCACAGGGTTTGTCGCCTGAGGGCCTGCTTCCTGCTYCTTCCAGACCCCCTCAACAGGCCAGGCCACATTGACTGCCCGATCAGGGCCTCTGCAGGGGACGGCCCCACTCACCATGACGGAGGTGGTCAGGCCCGGCAGCTGGAAGACGTCCATGCTGGGCTCGGCACCGACGGCAGCCTCGTTACTCCCCCGGCTCGACTGCGGAAGGTCAAAGTAGGTGCTGTCTGGCTCCCTGGGCCGGGGAGAGGGGGACAGGCCATCAGCATCCTGCCCACAGGGCCCCCAAGCGCAAGGCCAGCCCCTCTCTCCTCCCAGAGATGCTCACTGTCCCCTGGTGTCCTCAGTGCCCTCCCGCTGGCCCCCCGCCTGCCTGCCCTCGAGGTGGTGAGTGCCCTGTCCCCAGGCCAGCGCCGGCCCCAGGCATACTCACAGGGAGCTCCAGAGGTGCTCGAAGGTGGCTCCCTCGTCAGGGGACGTGGAGGTGGACTGGGCCATGGCCCCCTGGGCTGTCTTCCAAGGGCAGCTCACTCTGCAGGGAGGAAAGGGCAGGTGAACACTCTGGAAACGCCACCCTCCTCTGGCAACGAGGGCACAAGGGCCAGCCTGGCGCACTGGCCAGGTGCCCTCCTGCCCCATGCTCGGCCTCCACCTGCCCCTTCAGTCATCCAGCCCCTGGCCCAGAGCAGGAGACAGAGGCCACGGTAGGCAGCAGGGACTGGAGGGGCCTGGATCCACACCTGCTGGGCACCCTCTGGGAGACGGATCTAGCCCTTGCCAGGACCTGGGGCGCAGTCAGGCTGTGCGTGAGCAACAGGGGTCAGCACGAGGAATGCTGCTTCAGGACCGGCCAGGGTTGGGGGTCCAGCCACACAGGCTCCCTGATGCCCAGGACCTGGAGACGGCTCAGACCATCCCCTCTCTTGGTTAAGAGAATGTGGGGGACACCCCTGAGGCTGGAGTCCAGCCCAGGTCTGTGTGTCTCTGTACCCAGGTTTCTGTGGGTCTCAGCCGGCCACTCAGCTCTGAGCTGGTGTCCTGCCCTGGGACCTGGAGGCCAAAACGGCACCCCCCGTGGGAGCCCACCAAGGCCAGGACCTGAGGCAAGCGCTGCGTGGGTGGTCTCTCCACGGAGAAGCCCAGAAATTGGGGTGCCCTGACCACCACCCCAGAGCCTCTGGCCTTGGTCCTCACAGTGGCCTCTCCAGAAAGTGTCTGTGACCCGCTCTCCTAGCCCTGCAGTGGCCCTGGCCACCCAGGAGGAGGTGGCAGTGACCAGGCCAGGCACAGCCAGGCACACTGTCCTGCAGTGGGAAAGAGGGGACAGAGRCCCAAGTCCACCCTGCCCACTGCCCCCCACCCAGGCCAGGGCTCCGTTTCCCCTGGGCCAGCCTCCTGGGTCCGTGGGAATCAACTTGGCCACGCCCTGTAGTGCCCACGCCGACAGGCCCAGACCTGCCCATGGCTGGCAGGGGCGGCAGGGCAGGGCCTGCAATCTGTCGCTTTGGTCAGTCCCCAGGCAGGCGGGTGCCGACGGAGGCCTGCGGCTTGCTTCTGGGGCTGACACGTGCCAGGCCTCCAGAGCTCAGAGGAGTGGCACGGGACAGGAGGCCACCACGGGGGACTGGYTTGGCAGTGGCCACGGGAGGCCTGAGGGCTGAGTTAGTCAGGGAGCAGCGACGCTCAGACAGCCAGCCCGAGGACAGCTGGCCACAGATGGCCTGAGGACACTCAGACAGCCAGCCCTCCGACAGACCTGAAGCACCTGTGTCTTGACCAGGGACCCAGTGGGTCCCCTTGGCTCATCCTTTCTGGGTGAAYGGCACCTGTCAGGGAAGCCGCTTTGGGGCAGGAGGTGGCCTGCAGGCTGCACCCAGCTGTGTGCAGGGCAGGTGGCTGGGCTGCTCACACCCCAGAGGACAGCCCAGGAGGCCTCGCCCCAGCAGCCGCCTGGTCCTGCCCCTCAGATTCGTGGACAGACCCTCCGACTTGCAGAGATAACTCCGCTAACGTCACACGGTGAACAGGTGGCAAAAGCTCACGAGCTTCCAGAGTAGCATGGTCCACCTTGGCCAGATGGGACGGACAGCCCCAAAGCCACTGCAGAGGAGCGATGGACCCTAGGTCTCCACAAGGGGACGGACCTTGAGAAATGGATGCTCAGAGGAAGAGGTTGGTCACAAAGGGAGATGTGGCCAGTCCTGGAGGCTGACCGGGTGCCAGGGGTGGGGAGAAGAGGTGGCAGGGAGGGAGGAATGGGCTTGGGCTTTCTTCTGCCGTGACGACAGCGCTCTGGGACCACATAGAGGAGACGGCTGTGCCTCGCGGAGAGCGTGCAGMACACGCTGAAGTGTCCGTGGGAATATCAGGTGAATTTTGTCTCAACACAAAATTCCATTTTTTTTTTTTTAAAGAAGCTGGTGCAGCATATGGGAGGCGMGGCATCGCCAGCACGTTCTGAATGCACTTCCCAGGCCAGCTGGAGGAGGGGGCCACCTCCCAGAGCCCTGTCCAAGTTTTCACCACCGCTGACGGGGACAGGAGCCAGGGCTGGCAGACTCCCGTCCGGGCTGTGCACCCACTTCCCCCTCACCGCCTCCCAGGGAGCAGCCTGGGGAGGTGAGCCAGAGCCTGGGAGTAGATCCGGGTCTGCGGACTTGACCTGCACCTCCACCTCCTGAGCGCCACCCCAACCCGGCTCCCCCCACGCTCAGCRCTTCTCCAGTGAGCATGRGGSGGKGGGCACCTGCACTGACCTCAGGCCAGCTCCCTTTCGGGGACAGACCTGCAGGGCTGGTCCTCTGGGGAAGCATCAGCAGCCCTAACCCCACCCCTTGAGCCGCATACCTGGAGGGGCAGCTGGAGCTGCGCTGTCCACCTGGAAGGCAGCGGTGCCCACACCCGGAGAGTAARCAACACTGGAGCCCCCAGGGGCCTGCTGAGGAAGTGGCCAAGGAGGGTCTCTCCAGGGTCACTGTGCTCCAAGAGGCTCAGCAGACTCTGTCCCGCAGATCCCACAGCTCACTCCCCCACCTACCCCCAAAGCCAAGACTCCCCGACAGGCGCYGCTTGGGCAGCTCCAGCACCCACCTGACCCTCAGGACACTGGAGCACGTCCCTCCTGGCCTAACCCCCACTGGGCAGCTCTCAGGCTGAGCATCAGACCCCAGGCTCCTCACCATGGCCACTGCGCCCCCCTCCCAGGCTGGCCCTCCCTGGCTCCTGCAGCCCATCTGGAGAGGGTGCACCTCCCCACCACCAGCACCCAGGCCTGGGCACCGCCACTCCCTCTGGCCCTGGGCGCTCTAAGGTCCCTTGTCAGCATCCAGCCCAACAGCCGCCCCCTCCTTCCTCACCCGGCTCTGCCCAGCGTCCTCCTGCTCCTGACTAGTCTGCCTTCCCCAGCACGGAGGCCAGAAGGACACTGCGTCAGAGCCCGTGCCTGGCTGCTGGCCCCCTCACACCTGCCCAGGAACTGGGTTGGGAGAGGGTGTGGCCCCTTCCTCCAGGCCCCGGCACTGCACAGGGGACACCACYTGCCAGCGGGGGCCTGATGGGGGACGCCGTCTGCGTCTTCAGATGGATCATCTTAACTCCTCCCACCACACTTAGGCCACACCCCTTCCCACCCTGCCCCCTGGGCACCGGGCTCCCCAGCACCACCAGCAGGAGGCTGGTCTCCTTCCCTTCCCTGCCAGGCCCAGATCCCACCACCACCCTCCGGGCCTTCAGGATGGGCCTCTGCTGCCACCACCAGGAGCATCTGTAGGCACCACAGGAGCCAGACCCTCCCGGGGCTGGACAGGGGCTTGCTACAGGCAGGGGACTGGACGGGGGCGTCTGGCTTCGGGAGTGTGTGACTTCAGGGGTCAGGGTGCAGGTCATGGTGCCTGACGTCCTGCCTGTGTGGGGTCTATGGCAGGGCCCACGAACCTGCATCGAGCCAGCCAYCCCCTGCCACAAAGGGCCCGCCTCTGTCCACCCTGCAGGTGGCCAGSAGCCTCCACTGGGGGAATCCACTCAGATCCTTCACTGGCCCGTGAGGGCCCAGAGACCCGCCCAGGATGACCCCAAGGACACTGAGGGCCTGCTGCCCCTCCCGTGATGCCCTGGCCCTCCCTGGCCAGCAGGTCAGGGCCCTGAACAGAGAAGGGCAGATGTGGTGTGTGCCTGCCCGTGCAGTGTCCAGGTCACACACTGTGGGCACACACAGGGAACGGGCCCTCTGACCCGCCCAGGCCTGCCTCAGGGTCCCTCAAGGCCGCCGCGAAGTCGCCTGCAGGCGGCAAGGTGACCTGCTTGGCTCCTGTGGGACTGGGACCGGGAGGAACCCTGGGGACTCTCCGAGCCATACCCAGACCTCAGCCCGGAGCCCTCTGCTGCAGGTCCCCAACCTGCGGCACCCGGGGATCCTGGCAGCATGTGTGACTCGGGGGTCACAAGAAGAAGGGGCTGGTGACCCACAGCTGGGCCCCCAGTGCCTCCGGACACCAGAGCCGCTGCAGTGCTGGGGAGGAGCCCGCGGCCCCGAGGGCTGGCCCAGGCTCTCGGGCTGAGAGCCAGCCTGGCGACTTCCGTTTTGACTCACGAGTYCCCTGGGGTCTCACCCAGGTGGTTCTCAGCTTAGCCATCAGCCCCTGGGGGTGCTTGCCTCCGGGGCACGTGCTCACAGCCTCTGGGTGGGAAGGGGGTGCTGCCCAACCCTACAGGCCCCRGGTGGCCGCTGTAGCAGAATTTCCAGGGCCACGGTGGAGACAGGGGCTGTGGCCACAGCTTCTACAGTGCTGGCGAGTGTTCTGCTCACGGGGCTCTCGCGTCAGCCCTGAGAGGCCGCCCAGGTCAGGGACGAGCAAGCAGCCACCAGAGGCCCCACCCAGGACTGGAGAGGCACCCAGGTCTGCCAAGGGCCTCACCCGCCCCACTATGGCCTCTCTGCACCCGGGAGGAAGAGCTGGCTGCCCTGGTGGACCCCTGGCTCTCCACCTTCTTACCCTGCCCATCTCACCTGGTCTCCTCTCCAGAGCCTCTCATACAGCCACCACTCCTGGACCTCCTTCCCTGTCCCTAACGTCCCCTCCTCAGGCTCCTGACCTGTTCCCACACATCTCCTCCCTGTCTCTTGCCTCCAGGTACCGGGCTGTGTGGCCTCCCTGTATCTGGGTCCCCCAGGCCGGGCCAGGTCAGGGCCCAGCCCCTGGAGGAAGCTCTCTTTGCTGACTCTGAATCTCAGTGCCCAGCCTGTCCCTCGTCCATGGGCACATGGGTGCCACCTGCCCTGTGGTCCACAYGGAAGCCTGAGTTAGACAAAATTGAGGACTTGGTGCCACCTCTCTGCCCCGGCGAAGGACAGACAGGCTCCTAAAGCACCTCTGATACACTAGACCCCATTGACCCCCAGCTGAGCCCAGCCATGGGACACCCCCCGCCAGCCCGCCAGGCCTGGCCCCAGGCTCTGGGTGCCCACCCTCCCTCAGCAGCTCAGAGGCAGGGCTGCCCACATTCAGCCCCAGTCTGCACCCCTCCTGCCCCTCGAATCCCAAGTACCAGCCTTTCCAGGGAGAGGACAGGAGGCCAGGCCTCCTCAGTGCAGGCCCGTAAAGTAGGGAGGCTCGGGAGGGCTCTGCCCTGCTGGGCCRTCCCTCGAGTGCCCCGCCTGTGGCCAGCTCTTAGTTAAGGGTGGTCACTCTCCCAGCTCCCTTCCCACGACGAATCCCACCCTTTGTTTCAGTCACCAAGTCACAGTGAGATCTGAAATGGCAGATAGGCCTGGGGCCATCCCAGGGAGACCCCTCCGGGCCGTTTCAATTCCTCTGAGGCCTTTTCTCGAGGGGACGTACAAAAGGCCTCAGTGCCCATAGAACCCCGGCCTGTGCAGAGGGTCCAGGCAGCRTCACGGGAGGAGGAAGCCAGGCAGCTGGCTCTCCCAGGAAATGGCGGCGCTTCCTGCGGCCGGCTGCAGAGCCACACTGCAGCAGGGGGGCCAGAGCGGCTCTCGGTGGCCTGTGCTCTCACCTGGTGGGCCAGGGCCAGGGTCCCCCTCCTGGAATGATGTCACCTTCCTCAGTGCCTGGGCAGCGGCCACCTTTGCCTGCCCTCCTGTCCCCAGTCCCAGGCCATGTGGCAGACTCCGTCCCTGTCCCCTGAGTGGGGTGGGAGGGGGCCGGCACCCGCAGCAGGGCTGCCAAACAGCCTCCCCCTGCAGGTGAGCCCCTGGCGCTGCCCACGGCGGCCGCTGTGCCCTCTCCCCTGGTCCAGGGAGCCAAGCACAGAGTTGGAAGACAAATTTAGCCACCCGCCCCGGGCAGGGCACAGTGTGTGAAACCCGAAAACAGCTGGGGCGCCCGATTAAGCTCCCTCTCTGCTCCTGGGCCATGGCCCATGGGAAGGGGGATGGGAGTGGAGGCCAGAGGGATCCCGCGCCCTCCCCGTGGCCTCCCTCTGGTGGAGGCGGACCTGCAGTCCATCTGAACCCAACAGTTGCCTTAGTACCTGGGGAGGCCGGGCCCTGAGCACCAGGGCTTCCTGCACTTCTGGAAGGAGACCGTGGTTGACCAGCTTCCCCAACCAAACCAAGTCCTGAGGCCCCACGGGAGGGCGCTGCCTCAGACCAGCCACCATGGCCGAGGCCCAGTGACATCAAGCATCGCTGATCCCCGGGAGGCTGCTGACCCCACGACCTTGAGTCTCCTTTTACCAACCGTGAATGGTGCAGAGTGGCACCCAGCAGGTCCAGGGGCACAGTCGAGTCCAGGAGCTGGGCTCTCAACCCCAGTGTCTGCCCCGGCTGGCCTCACTGAGCTGTGGTGACAAGGCCAGCCTGGGCCTTGGGCCCCTCCCCACCTGCCCAGCCACCTGTGCAGCCCACCGCACACCCTGCCTGGGAAGTCCCTTCCCACTTCTCCTTTCTCACCAGCACCGGGAGGCCCTACCTGCGTCCAGGCATCCGGGGACGCCCCTGCCCTCTGCTGGCCTGCCTCCGACTTCTTCCCCCCCACTCCCCCCCACATGCTGGGGTCATGCTGGGACACATGGCACCTGCCCCACCCTTCCGTGCCCTGCAGCTCAGTCCTGCCTGTCCCATGAACCAGGTCCCTCTTCCCTCTGTCCACACAGCCCACCTCTGCTGCTCTCCAGCTGTGTGGCCTTGGGCAGCTGCCAGGCCCATTCTGAGCCTCTACTCCTCTCCTGTGAAGTGGGGTGGTTGTGGAGCCCGACCCGGATGCGCCTGGGGCATTCAATGCTTAGAAAAGGCAAAAGCCCCAGGCAGCTTCGGATGGAGGGCACGCCCAAGTGCAGACGCGCAGACTCTGCAGCTGACCAAGGCTTCCTCAGCATCAGGAGCCGCAGAGGAGGGAGGAAGCCGGTCCGGCCGCAGCCACCCCCACCAGCACCTTGCTCCCCACGAGCACCCTGTTGTGCGAGYACCCTGTTGCGGAGCCCAGCCCTCGGTCATCTCTGGAGGAAGAGCCCCCTCTAACAGTGGGGCCCAACACCCTCCCTGCAGAGGCTGAAGCTGGTGAGGGAGAAGGGGCGTCCCCAGCCCCGTGTCTTCAGGAAAGTGGGGAGGTGGGCACCGAGGGTGGGTCAGAGGCAGGAGGCCCAGGGTGTGGACTTCCAAGAAGGGGCCAAGTCAAGCGTGGCTTGGAGAAGTGGCCTGCCGAGCCACGTGGGCAGCCAAGCGCAGCCACCTGTCAGAGTGGCCCCGGGCGGGGCTGTGGGAGTGGACTGYGGGCAGCGATTAGCTCAGGCCAGCCTGGTGGGCGCAGATCGAGGTGCAGGATGGCTGACTGCCACGGGCAGAAGAGGAGCAGGTGAAGGGCTGGGAGGAAGAGGAGCCTGCAGTCAGAGTGGGCATTTGAGTGGACCAGGGCCCCGGCAGGACAGGGGACTGGTGAGGGCAGGCAGGTTTTCATGGCAGTGGTCACAGCCCCACCCACAGCCTTTCCCTCCTGTGCCACCCCACGCCCACAGGCTGCCAGGCCCCCAGCCCTCTCTACTTGAATCCTCCCGTCCTGGCCCCCTTTCTGCCCCAAGGGCTCCCTATGGGGCAGAAAGTGTGGCGGTGCCAGTCGGAGGGGCCTGCACTGTCCTTTGGAACACTCCCCTGAGACAAGCTGTCCAGTGCTTCAGCCCCCCCTGGTCCTCACCCCCAAGCTGACATCCCCACTGGCCATGCCCTCTGGTCACCCCCACATTCTTCTCTGCTGTGCCCCAGTCCTGCCCAGGTCCCTTCCTCCCTGCCTCTGGGCTCCACCCATGGCTGACGACCACCCTCCCAGGTCGGAGTGCTTACACCCTCTCAGGCACCTGTCCGTCTCTAGGAGCCCCCGCGCAGTCCCTGGCTCCTGTTCCGAGGCTTGGTCCTGCCCCTGAATGCCACCTTCCTGCCAAGCTGCACACGGGATGTGCCCCAAGTTGCCAAGAGTGTTGTCCATCTGTTCCCCCCTCCAGCAACTCTGTCTGCTTCCCYTTGCCCACTCCTGGGCCCTGGACCACCAGAACTTTCTGGACACTCAACAGTGCCAACCTTCACCCAGAGCGAAGGTTGTATTTGGGAATTCCTGCCACCCACACAGTAACCCAGGAGTGAGTTTCCAGGAGTACTTACATGGCACAGAGAGAGCAAGCAGCTTGCCTAGGGCCACACAGCTTGAAAGTGCCAAGGCTGGGGTGAGTCTAACTCCAGTGAGGTCCGCCTGACCCCTCCCACCAGGCAGTGGCACCCTCTGGGAGAGCCTTCTAGCGAGACACAGGGAGAAACAGCTTTGCCCCCTAGCATGCAGGGTGGAGAGGAGGGCTGGCTCAGCCTAAAAGCAGGCCAACGTCCAAGTGGGTTGCAGTTTTGAGGGTCTTACAGCTGACAGAGTGCTAGGGGGCTGGGCTGGGGACCGACAGCCCTCCAGATCGCAGAGGGGCAGGCGTGGGCTCTGTGTGGGGGTCTCGCTGGACCCTGGCTGGTTCTGAACCTGTGTCCATGCGCTTCGGGGACAAGGAGGGGATTCCAGCCTCAGGAAGGGAGTGGGGTTGGTTGGGGAAGGTCACCTGTGGGCACACTGTGGGCCAGGGGCTGGTAGGAAATGAAACKGGCCTTGGTGAGGGTCGGGTGAGGGCAGGAGGGCATGGACACAGAGTGACGGGGACACAGGTGGAAGCAAGGAGCTACCAGCACGTGTCCYGACTCTGGCCCCAGGCTCTCTCTGACCTTCATGCCCTTTCAGTCTATCCTTCCACCCAGCAGAGTCAGCTGCCTGCAGCCCCCACCACCTGTTTTCCAGTCCCCAAAATAGGCTGCCTCGCTTGCCCTCCTTGCAGGACAAATCTATGCAAAGCAGATTCCTGGACGAGGTGGTATGAGGGGTGCAAGGTGACCGCCGTGACAATCTGCCACCTGAGCTCTAGCTGCCTCTGGTCGGCATGGCTCGCCCCCATTCTGCCCCACCTGGAGGGCAGCCTRCTCTGGGCACTCCCTGCTTCTGCCCCCACCCCTCTTGAGGGTCTCATCCACTCCTGCCCCCCAGGCAAATTCCAGTTGACCCTGCCTGGTGGGACCTGGAGGGGGCCAAGGGCCCCTGCACTCCCCTCCAGCCCCCAGGCCAAGTCCAGCAGAGTCCCTGACCAGCAGCAGGACCAGGAGGGGCAGCTTCAGAGGCCTTGCTCCTTAGGCCCTGGACGGCCCCCTCGGTCCCCACG